ACCCGAACCCAACCCGTTAAGCTAACGGATCACCTGAACCCAACCTGTTAAGCCTAATAAGTCACCCGTTAACAATTTTTTTTGTTTTTTTTTTTATACATTTTGCATTCCAATACAAATTACACATCTTTTACCCAAAATTACAAACATTATATATATATATATATATATATCCGTAGGGATTGAAGTACATACACTCTGCAAATGTTTTGCACTGTGACCTGAAACCAAGTAACCTGCTTCTCAATGCAAATTGTGACCTTAAGATTTGTGACTTTGGGCTGGCAAGAACTACATCAGAGACATATTTCATGACAGAATATGTTGTAACTCGTTGGTATCGAGCCCTAGAGTTACTACTTAACTGTTCAGAATACATCTCAGTTAAGACTATGTTCAACAGTTGAGTCTCATAACTAAGGTATATACATCACCAAGATGCATTTTACATAAATATATATATATATATATATCTATCTCAAACTACAATCAACTAATTAATAGAACTCCATAAGGGTTTTACAAAATGTGAAGCATAGCTATACGTCATGGGGCAATGCCGTAATCAACAGCACCAAGATTTACTACACGAATCCATATGATTCAACAGGTTTTTCGTCCCACAGTTACTATCACATATGTAAACTATCCCACAATTTCTACATTTCGCCTGTTGTTTATTATCAGGACCAATAGGCAATTCTTCAAACAAAGTCCAAACACAAGATCTCTTTTGACGTATCTTACCTACTCGTATACCTTTAGCCTTTCTCTTTGAAGGACTTGGTGCACTTGTTGTACCTTGCGTATCTGTTAGATTGACTATTGACATTTCCATAGCCTGAGTGTTCTCTTCATCATTATCCATCTACATTAACCATAAACGAAAACTGATGATAAATAACAATAAGTATAAGAAAATGGGTTAAAAAGTAAGGAACACCCATACACGAACACCTCTTAACCTAGAGTGAATTAATGATTGACTTCATAGAAATATAGCACTAACACTTCCAAAAATTTCATACATTTCTAAACAATAAGCAATAAATAAAGGAACTAAAAAGGGAAAGCAAAAGAGAAAAGCAATGACCTTTTCTCCCCTCTCAATGCGAAAACAGAACACGTATTTTAATCAAAACCCAATTATAATCAAAACCCATTTCATTGAAGGGCTTGGCCGCCGCCTGCTTCTCCTCCTCAATCGCCATCAAACCCATGATAGAAGAATAATGTATGTGTGTGTGTGTGTGTGTATGAATCGAGTGTGTGATGGGATGGAGAAGTGGGAAGATCTCTCTCTATCTAACTTGCGAAGGAAGAGAACAAAAGCACAATCACACACAGAAAGCACCATTTGCACAACAAAAGCACAATCGCAATCGAAATCATCAAACACAAATCAACTAATTCCAAATTAATTCGAAGCTCATCTGAAGAGTACCACCTCAAACCAAACTCAAGCAAAAACTGAGAAAATTAAACAAAAAATATAATCTGCAAAAACGAAAATTAATCGCCACGGAAGAAGAGGTGAAAGGGAATCGGAACTTACCGGAGAGGGTGGCAGAACTTAGTGAACGGCAGCCAACTTTGAGGAAGAATATGAGGGAGAGAACGGCAGCCACTTGATGCGAGAATTATACGCACACCAATTAAACCCTCTTTTTGACAATTGTAGTATAGAATGTAAGTAGGGATCGTTCAGGACCGGGGATTAGGAGGGATTGTTAACCTCTTGGATTTGACTCAAAAACGTAAAAACACAATATAAAACACTATACTAGATTCAAAGAATGTAACACTCAAAATAAGATAGATTAAGACTAAGACTAAACAAAGTATGGGGGGGGATTGAGTTCGGACGAAATTAAACTAAAATGGATAGATTGCAAAGAAAACAAATTGTAAATACGGATTTGACGAAAATGAATGGATGGGAAGCTAGCTAAGGGGTTCATCTCCACACATGTTATACTTGCATACAAAACGATTTCTAATTGCTTTTCAATAAACCATGAATTCTCAACGCCCCGGGTTAATTAGGTCCGCTTAAATTAACCGTCAAGTTTTCCTTAAGTTAATGAATTGGATGATTACATACGACAACCCAAAGCATTCCTCACAAGTTCCCTACATGAATTGCATAATAGAGATACAAGCAAGAATCATTAAGCAACATGAAAACTATAAGTGTTGACGAGGCATTCGTTACTATGATTGCATGAAACTTATGCCAAGAATTTGTTTAACGCGATTGTTTATAAGCAACCTCCACTACTTGTGAATATAAGTTCATAACTATTACGTGAAACTCACTTATATTCTAGCATCATATTCATGCATGAAAATTAAGCGTTCATTCTCAATAAACATACATAAATAGGTTATCAATCAAACAGTTAAACAAATTGAATTCACAACTTATGAAACGTAATTAGAAGTAATCAAATCATATTGCAAGCATAAACATATATTTCGAATCACCCCCTAGCTAAGGGGGGTTTAGTTCCTCATACTTACAAAACAAAGAGAATTGAAATTAAACATTGAAATCAAAGAAACACCTAAACATTCCAACAACTCAAACTTGAATTGTATGAACGTTTAGGCCCTCTTCTCTTCCTCTTCGTTGTGGCACAAGGTCTAAGGAGATGTTTAGGGCTTTAGGTGTATGTGGAATGGAGTGGGGAATGATTGGAGTGGCTGCAATGGAGGAGAAGAAATGGTGCAGAAATGGAAGGTGATGCACGGCACAAGGTTGTGTTTGTGTTGTGTGTTGTGTTGTGAATGGAATTATGAATTTGTATGAATGGGAATGAATGCTTATTTATAGGAGAAATGGGGGGGGGGGGACATGACAGCTAGGAGGGAATGTGGCTGCATGTTTGAATGATTAAAGGATGCATGTGGGTTGGAAATGCATGTGCAAGCATGTGTTGGCTGAATTAAAGAATGTGAGGGAATGATGAAAGGGGAAACATGACAGCTAGGTTGGTTGGTGTATGGAATGGCTGAATGTGGTGCAATGATAATGTCTTGTGGCTGAATGGATTAAAGAATGGGAGTGCATGTGTTGAATGATTGCACGGCATGGGTATTTTCTGGAATGTTGAATGTGAAAGCATGTGCAATGAATATGTGGCTGCATGTGTGGTGCAATGATGAAGGAATAATCTGAAAATGCAAGGTGAAATGAAGTGGAATGACAATGGCATGTGGAATGGCTGGAAAGTGTATGAAACTCACGGCAATGATGGTGATTTTCTGGTGGTGAATGGTAATGCAATGTGTTTGCATGTGAATTAAAGCTATGTGAATGATTAGGGTGAATGTGCATGTGCTTTGACAGCTAGGATGAATTAATTAAAGGGAGTGCATGTGGCTTGGCTGGAATGAATGGAATGCAATCTGAAATGGGAGATGGAATGGGATGCACGGCAATGATGGTGTTTGTGTGAATGATGGCAGATTGTGTGGGTGAGTGATTAGGTTGGAAATGCATGTGAATGCAAGGTGTGAATGATTATGAGTGCATGTGGGTGAATTAAAGGATGGAATGCATGTGGATTAGGTTGGAAATCTGATGGGAACTCACGGCATTAAGTGGAGTGAAATGATTGAATGTTTAATGGTTGCATGTGGCTGAAATGAAGTGTGTATGCATGTGCACGGCACAAAGGGAAATGGTTTTGGTGAATGGCTGATTAGAATCTAGGGTGAATGGTGTGTACGATTTTTGGGAGAGAAAGTGTGTTGGATGATTTATGGAGATGCATGTGGATTAAAGGAATGCATGTGCAATGGATATAGGAAAGGTTTAAATGTCCTAGAACTAAAGGGAACAAGGTTCCAACACTTTGGTCTTCAATTAGGTCTTCAATTTCGTCCAACACTTTGGCTCCAAGCATAAGTTATCCATCCTTAGCCCAAAAGTGCTCCAAAAGTCTCCAAAATGCATCTTTTTGCTCCTTTAGCCCTTTGGACCTACAAACACACGAAAATAGCTTAAAGTACTAAAATAACTAAAGAAACATAACGTAAATGCACGAGAACAAGCCATTTAAGTCCCATGAATATGCTCCTATCACCACTCAGTCCGGGTTTGAACGTGAGAGAACAGAGAGAGCTAGGTTTTCTATTCCAACTATGAAATTACACAAAAGTCCTCTTAACGGATGTTAACGGGTGCTAACGGGTTTCGCGAGTTGACCCAAAATGACCCGTTACTTAACGGGTGACTAACAGGTTAACCCGTTAACAACCCAACCCGTTAAGCACTCACCCAAATACTAGTTTTAACGGGTCGGGTTCAAAATGCCAGCCCTACCAGGAGGTGTTGATCATATGAAGAAACAATAGATAGAATGTAGAAAAGTAGAAATTTAAAAACCCCAAATTCTAATCTCAATTTGAACATAAAAATAAAAACCCTAATTTTTTCAAGTGCAGAGGTCTATTATTGAAAATTTCTCGAGCCCAAAACAACGAAATTGAACAAAGCCCAGTAATATTACGATTTGCAAAACAAAATCAAAGAAATAAATCATCGGATAAGAAATTTACCAGACGAGGAGCAGATGAGGGCGAGCAGGACGCAAATGAGGGTGAGGAGGACGATGATAAAGGAGTAGGGCGAGGAGCGAACAAGATGTGCTACAACACTCTATCTCTCTCTCTCTCTCGCAAGATGAGCAACGATTCTCTCTCTCGCGGGAGGGTCTTAAGAGTGGTGAAATTTGGGGATTCTCGCTAAGAACTCCTAGCAAAGGAGATAATTCAAGCGAACTCTTTGTAATCTCATTAAACTTAATCCTTGTGATACCAAACATAGGACCACATTAGTAAATTAGCTCCATCCCACCTACGAAGGTGAAACAAACGGCCCAAGAAAGACTAGGATTTGTAAAGAAAAGTAAACTCGTAGACTTTTGTTGACGGCGAGGCATGAAGATAATAAAAAGACCAAAAAGGCCCTGTAAGCAAATATCTATCAGAATCCCTCCGTTATTCGCTGTAAGTCTCCCAAATTTCTCGCTGCACGATCGATCAGGGTTTTTGATTTGGGCAATCAATTGAAATTCGAAGAGTAGAAGATGATCGAGGTGGTACTAAACGACCGTCTGGGAAAGAAGGTGAAGGTGAAGTGCAACGAGGATGACACCATCGGCGACCTGAAGAAGCTGGTGGCGGCTCAGACGGGCACCCGCTCCGACAAGATTCGGATCCAGAAGTGGTACAACGTCTACAAGGATCACATCACTCTCAAGGACTACGAGATTCATGACGGCATGGGCCTCGAGCTCTACTACAACTGAAGGTTGGGAATTGAAATCTCTCTGCAATTTCAGATATGTGGGGGAAATTGTGTTAGTTTTCACGGTTTGTGATTTGTTGGGTTAATTGGGTTAAGTTTTAGGGTTTATTATATGAGTTAGTTTCCTTGTCGAATTTCAATTATTAGAACTAAGGGCTTGGGTATAATCTTTGAAATTTCATCTTTTATTATGCTATAAGTTATTAATTTTACTCAATTTGGGGCAATTCGATTGTTTGTTAGGGTTTTAGAATTGTTGGATGAATTGAATTTTTTGAGTTTTAGGGGTCTCTTGTGTTGGTTAATATCCTCGTCGATTTTCAATTGGTACTAGTTTATAACTTTCTATGGCTCTGACATAGTGAAGTGATGCCCTGTAGGGGTTTTGTTTTTTTTTTTTTTTTTTTTTTGAACTCTTAGCTAGTAGGACAAAGGCGGGAATTAGGTTTGTGCCTCTTTGGGCATGACTAGCCCTGCAAATCCAGTTCGTTCCTATATAAAACCAGCAGACAGACCTTAATAGGACCAAAGAGCGAGGCTTGGTTGGGGCTTCTGTTGTGTTCAACTGTTAATTAAATGGAAGAATGAAATAGGCTTGATCCGTAGATGGACTTAGTTAAGAGTGCCGGTTTTCTGTCATTTACATGTTGGAAATCAACCAACCTTCGATGAATATCGGCTTGTGGCATGCATTCCATGCAATGCTGGAGTCTTGTTTTGCGGGTATCTCAAACAAACTTAAGTGTCCATGTGAAACAGTACCCACTGAGTCAATATCCATGTCTAGCAGCACTGACCCATTTTTGGCCAATTTGATGGAACTTATACCATCTCTTTTAATTGGAAAATAGAGAATCCTCAAGTGGTATCTTAGTGCCTGGTTGAGAATGCTTTTGCAGAAAGCACTTATGAGGCTTCTCACAAGTGTTTTTTTCTTTCTTTAATTTTCTACAAGCACAACATGTTTATTAAAATCCAAGTGCTTTCTTGGTGCCTCTTCAGGAGGCACTAAACAGGGGTTTTTGTGATCCAGAAACGCTATTCAGTTGTTCTTCAAGTGTTTTTGGTTATCTTAAACCAAGTGAAAAGCCTACATCACTTAGCAGTTGTTAATGAATAATGCATATATACTATTTGGTAGATAATTTTCCATCATACCATCAAGGCAGCTTCTGCCATTGATGAATGTGCATACCAAGTTTTCTTCTCCCTGATTTGGAAGTTTCAGAACATTAACATAGAAGTTTGTGTGTGCTTTCAGGTGTTCTGGTCTTATTACAACGCACTGGCGGTGGGATTGGCGTTTAGTCTCTATAAGAAGTGGCTGTATGTATTTCAAAGTGTAGAATGGTGTAGAGTCTTGTGTTTCCTAAAGCTATTTGGCTACATACATACAAGTATTAACTGCATATACATTTGTGTAACTGTGTTGCCATACATTCAGTCTCAGTAATCAGTAATGATGGTTTGCGATTGTGATACTGTGAACCAGTATATATATATATAAATATTTATGGGTGAACTGTCAATTTAGTCTCTAAATTATCACTTGAGTGAAAATTAGGTTTCTAAACCATTTTTTTCAAAAAAATCAGCCCATGAATTATAAAAATCTGTTAATTACATCCTTAATATTATATTCAAAGCTATTATATTCAATTTTTCATCAATTTAAATCATATTATTTGCAGGTGATACACATTAGAGGGTAGATTGGTAATTTTACATGAAGAAACAGTGTATGGGGTCAACTTTGGAGGGTAATTAGATGTTAGATTTGCAAACCTATATGAAATGTTAAGGGTTTATAGGCAAGAAAAAAATAGTATTACACTCTAAAGTGTGTCAAGTGACTTAAGTCTACGAAAAATTAAATAAAATAGCTTTGAATGTAATAGTGGGGATGAAATTAGCAATTTTAATGAATTTAGAGACTTAATTACCGAAAAAATAATTTAGAGTAGGGGTGAGCAAACAAGTCTAGGAACTGCAGGTCAGGCCGGGTACGAGCCGAGTTTAATTTTTTTAAGGAAAAAACAGGATAAGGCAAGTCCAAATCTATAGAAGCATGAGGCCTTGGCTTGGCCCGTTTCTAAAATAGAATGAATGGAATTTAGATGGGATTTGTTTCTCTTCTTCAATTGAACTAGCGATCCTAGCCTTCTTTCCCACTCAACTCATATTTTCCCACTTTTATCTCTCTCGCCGACATCATCAAACGCAGACCACCACCAATTCTGCACCATCGTCACCCATCACTGCTGTCGCGACCATCACTACCCGATCACCATCACAGACCCTATTAACTATTAGTTTTACCCTAGGTCTCCTCTCTGTCTGTTACTCGAGTCCTTGATATATTCTCTCTCATGTGCGTCGTCTCTTCCACAGTTCTTCCACCCACACTCCGTCACTTTTTGTCAGTCATTTCCTCCACCACCCCCAACATCACCCGCCGTGGCGAGTTTGGGCCTTGGCGACCAGTTCAATGCCTTCTCCAAAAGCTTTGACATCTCAAGCTTGAAGAATTGATCAATGATTTTTACTTTCACTTGGTTTGAAACTTTAACTTCTATTTGGATTGTTAACTTCTATTTGTTTTGATTCGTAACTTCTATTTGGATTGTAAGCTTAATTTTCATCATGAATCTTGATGCATCGTTTGAATTATTGTGTGTGTGAACAGTGAATGATAAATAATAGATGAATTTAGGCTACAATGTATGAGATAAAGGTACAAAAAAAAAGGATTTTCCCTTGAATTGGATTAAAAAAATAAAAACGGATTTTTGTCCCAAAACAAAGTCACAATTACCATTGTCATACCATGCCAACCAAACTATTTGGTAATACCAAACTTCGGTATACCAAAAGTTTCATATGGTAATGGTAATAGATTTTGCCAAACCGAAAGCTTGATACGGTAATTGGTACAAGGGTTTTGATATGGTAATTGTACCGAACCCAACCCTACATGTTGCCTCCAAAATCATATCGGCCTTCTTTGGTCTTCAAAATTGGATTGGCTTGGATAACTCCCAAGTTCAAGATACACATTTACATATTTAGTGGACAAGGAATGATTTTTTATTTGGAGGGAAAGTCATTCTTAATTGATCTTACTATTGTGGAGGGAATTGGAATGGATAAGTTTTCTTTGTGACGCATGAGTAATTCAATCTTCTTAATCAGTCTTCGCTCTATTTGATGCCTCTCGTGACTCTTATCCCAATGCGGGAAATTCGTAAAATGAAAATGCGAAATGGAAATGATGTAAAAGTTTAAAACAGAGATGACGAAGTCTATTGCTTTTTAATTTTAATTTCGTTACGTTTAAAAACATATTTGGTGTTCCTTCTTCTGTTTGTCTATCGTTTTCTTCTCTTAGAATACATCTTTTCCAAAAAGTTGAGAAGGAAATGAAAAACCAAAAGACCCCCAAAAATTAAAATTTGTTTTGACAAAAAAAAAAGTTTGCTTGTAGGGGCCACTCAATATTACGGACTAGTGGTAGTTCTCTTTATTTGTAAATGAGAGGTCTTAAATTCGAATCTCATAAATAGCGAATTCGTACCAAATTAGGTTGTATATTGTTTGGTTTATCCGAACTTTCTCTCCCCTTAATGTAAAATATATTGTACTTAAAAAAAAAAAAAAAAAAAAAAAACTAATGATAAGGGCTTGAAAATTTGAATGTTAACCAAAAGTCATATACTAACTTTATTTAATGGTTAGAACAAAGTCCAATATTAAATCAATTCAATTAAAATGGCCCAAACAATAGTTTCCAGCTTTTCTAACAGCAACTCACACACACGCACGTAGAGTTAGAGAGAGAAAAGCTGTCAAAACCTAAGGTCGCAACCATGTCTCTCATCACAATTCGCAGATGAAGAGTTGCAGCATATTATGCGTGTGTTGAATACCAACGTAGATAGAAAGTAGAAGATCATGTTTCGCCATTACCTCCATCAAGGGTATTGGTAAATGTTTTCGTCGACATCATCTACAAGAAGGTCGATGTTGACATGAACAAAAAGGCTGGTGAGCTATCTGCTACTGAGCTTGACAATCTGTTGACTATTATGGCAACCCCCCCTTCAGTTGAAGATCTGTGACCAGTTCTTCAACAGAAAGGACTACAAGGATGGTAAATATTCCCAGGTGGTCTACAATGATGGATATTATGGTGTTCAACATTTCCAATTTACTCTCTTTATTCCCATTCTTGGTTGCAATTACTATTATTATCTGGGGAAATTTGGACCGGATGATAGAGGGCCTTATGATGGTTATAGCTTCTCTAGTTCCCAATTTCCTAATGGGTATTATAACATTTAAGCATCCTGATGATGACCTCGGGTTTCTTCCGCTTGCTACCAGATTTTCCTAGGCCATTTGGCATACCAGTAGACCACTCCGAGTGGTGGGACTTGGCTGTTATTCCCATGTGGTCTTCGACAGTACTTAGGCCTTTGTGTGTGTGGACAGAGATTTGTTGGCCCTTGAAGAAGCGACATTGTGGAGAGGAGAAAGAAAGGAATGATACACCTTAAGTTTCATAAACAGTTTGTGAGATTTTTATTAATTTTTTAATATTAAAATTATGTCTTTTTCATTAAAATTTAAGTCTTTTGTCATTTTTATTACAATTTAAGTTTTTTTTAATTAAATAAAGTTATAGCATGGTTTTTTATTAAAATAAACTTAGCTCTAGCCCTTTTCATGAAAGTTTCCCAAAAAAAATTGGGTAAATTACATTTTACCCCCCCAAGTTTGAAGTCGATTTCAATTCCTTACAACATCTTTAAAACATTCCAATTTCATACATTTACTTATCATTTTATTTCAATTTCATACCTCCATTAGAAAATATGTTAAGTAAACCGTTAAGTGAGGATGTGGCAAATATAGGGTCCCCATTTATGCTGAAGTCTTGCCACATTTCTGCCACGTGGCTAAAAACATAATAAAATATTTAAAATATTAAAATGATTATTTAAAGAAAAGTTCAAAAAAAAAAAAAAAAAAAAAAAAAAAAAACCAGATGCCCTTCTTCCCCATCCCCCATCACCCAATCGGAGTTCTGGTGTAACAGATCTTGAGCAGAGACGATGTCACATCCTAGCCCGGGGTCCACCATATCACGGGCCCGCTCCACCACCGTAGCACGATATTGTCCATTGTGGGCCCCGACCACGCCCTCATGGTTTTGTTTCTGGGAACTCACACGAGAACTTCCCAGTGGGTCGCCTATCATGGGATTGCTCTCGCGCGTTACTCGCTTAACTTCGGAGTTCCCATGGAACCCGAAGCCAATGAGCTTCCAAAAGGCCTCGTGTTAGGTAGGAATGGGAATATACATATAAGGAGCACTCCCCTGGGCAATGTGGGATCTTACAATCCACCCCCCTTAGGGGCCCGACGTCATTGTCGGCACACATCCGGCTAGGGATTGGCTCTGATACCAAATTGTCACATCTCTGCCCAAGCCCCCTTCACATCCTGGGCCCGTTCCACCACCGTAGCACAATATCGTTCGCTTTGGGCTCTGACCATGCCCTCACAGTTTTGTTTCTGGGAACTCACACGAGAACTTCCCAGTGGATCACCCATCATGGGATTGCTCTTGCACGCTACTCGCTTAACTTCGGAATTCTCATGGAACCCAAAGCCAGTGAGCTCCCAAAAGGCCTCATGCTAGGTAGAGATGGGAATATACATATAAGGATCACTCCCCTGGGCGATGTGGAATCTTACAGACAACGTCCATGTCTCTGTTAAGGGCAGGGTAGAGGTTCTAGATGACCTGGATTGTCCAATCGGGGTTATCGGGCGGGAGTCAGAAGACTTCGAGAGCACATTCGTGCTCGTGGCCGATGCAGAAGGGGCACTGTTGTTGTTGGTCGGAGTTGGGGTTGATGGGGGACTTGGATTTGAAGTCGGAAAGTCGTTTGGCTTTGGCGGGTGAGAATATCACCCACCGTTTCGTCACCGAGTCTTTCCTCAGTTGCAGGGTTCGAGCTACTGAATCTGATGCCATTGCCTTCCCTTCATGTCAGTTAGATGCCATTGCGAGTGATAGGGGATGGGGAATGGGGGAAGGGGTGGGTGATGGGGGGTGGAATGGTGGGCATTGGTGGGGATCTAGGGAAGAAGGGGATTTGTCTTTTTTTTTTTTTTAACTTTTCTTTAAATAATTATTTTAATATTTTAAATATTTTATTAAGTTTTTAGCCACGTGACACAAATGTGACAACCATATCAGCATAAATACGGACCTCATATTTGCCACGTCATCACTTAACGGTTTACTTAACAGATTTTCTAACGGATGTATGAAATTGAAATAAAATGATAAGTAAATGTATAAAATTGAAATGTTTTAAAAATGTTGTAAGGAATTGAAATCAACTTCAAACCTAAGGGGGTAAAATGTAATTTACCCAAAAAAATTGGTTGCAGCAAAAAGGATGTAGGAATTCAAATGGTTGGGCCACGTTTCAAGTACATTGGCCCAAC